TTAAAGAGAAAATATAAAAATATCTTGTCATAGCACAGCTTCTTGGGAAATTTAATATTTTTTGGTATGTTTTCCAGTCTTTTCCTTGTAGTCTCTATTTTTCATCGAAAACAGTCACCATGAAAAAAAAGATTATGAGGGGCTGAGGGGATAGCTCAGCGGCACAGCGCCTGCCTGGCAAGCGCAAGGTCCTGAGTTTGATTCTCGGTACCAAAAAAAAAAAGATTAGGAGTTGATTAGCTCAGCGGTAGATAGCTTGCCTAGCAAGCAGGAGGTCCTGAGTTTGGTCCTCAGCACCAAAAAATTAAAAAAACAAAAAATAAAATAAAATAAAAAAGATTAGTGGAAGTTAAATAATTATTTTCAGTATATACATAGCTATTAACCAAAATATAGCTATTAACATAGCTATTAACCAAAGCTATTAACCAAAATATCGCTCCTTTTTGGATACCTGTGCTGTCCCACACCCTGTAGTGTTTCTTAATCCTAGAATTGTCACGGTACTTGTTCATTTTTTCCTGATGATTTTTAAGTAAATTTTAGGGAGGCAAGTCCTATGTAATGATTTTTATTAATGTGAGGATATAACTATATTAAAGAAGAGTTGGCAACTTTTAAAAAAAACAACTGGTAAAGCCAGGTATGGTGGCTCACGCCTGTAATCACAGCCCTTGGGAGAATGAGGCAGGAGGATTGTTGTGAGTGTGAGACCAGCCTGGGCTACAAAGTGAGCTCAAGGCCAGCCTGAACTGCATAGTGAGGCCTTGTCCCCAAAAGACAGAAAAAAAAAGCTTCTTGGGCCACCTGTCCCTTCTGTAATGCCCCTCTAGACCTCCTTTATCTTAACCAGACCGTCATGTCTTTGTCCCTTTTCTTGTCACACTCATGTGCTGTACTCTAAAAGACTCATCTGACGGTGAATGAGACACTCAGCTGGACGCTGCCTCCTTGCTTTGAGCTTTGGTGTACTCTTTACTTGCAGCCACTCAGGGGCTCAAAAAAGACCAAAAAAAAAAACAACAAAAAGCTGGCAGATTGATGTACTTTGTTGAAATTCGCTAGTCTTCAGACACAGGGAGGATACTGAGAAGATGAGCTCACAGGAGCAGATGGGCTCCTAAGGTCATTTCCAAGTGGTGATGGGTTAGTTTTACAAAGTCCTTGTCTGAAATTGCAGGGCGCAAGGACCAGGAGGTGTTCTGTAGAAAGGGATCACCATTTCCCACGTACTACAAGAGTTTAATTGGGTTTCTGCTTTTTTTTCCCTTTAAGAAATTTTTTTCTCATATCCATTGTGATTAAAATCTAGGTGTGTTAAACTGCCACGTATTGGAAAATGCCAATTTGGGGATTTAATATGTATTTCTTTATTTCCCTGCCATTTTCACTTGAAAAGAACAAGTAGCAGGGAACTACTGCTAATCTTGTCTGAACTAATGCATTAAACAAACATCCCAAAATACCACCACATGGATCTGATTTACAGGAGCCATATTTAAAAAGTCACTAAAGCCCTACACTTTGAAGGTGTCTGACACTTGGTTGCTTTTTCCAACCCATTACTTGCCTTGTAGCCATAGGAAAGATTGAAAAGACAGTTGTGCCACAACTCTCTCCCACCCCAAAACCTGGGATGGCTCCATATCTAGACTTGCACTAATTATTGAAAAGATATAATACAATACATACCTGGGAAATACTTCTACGTGTTGTGTTACATTTGTAAAGCCAGTTAAAATATGCAGTCTTCTGGGGCTGGGGATTTAGCTCAGCCGCAAAGCGCCTGCCTGGCAAGCTCAAGGTCGTAAGTTCGGTTCCCGGTACCGGAGAAAAACCAAAATAAATAAATAAATAAATAAAATAAAATATGCAGTCTTCAAATAGAATATGATCTTTGAAAATTTTTCATATCCGCATAGTTTAACACATTCATGATGGGACTATAATTCATGTGTCTTGCTGCCAGGCTGCTCCAGACTGCTGGTGGTACATGCATGACTTTCCCCCTGGGTAGCATAGGAGAGTCTCATCAGGTGGTAGCACTGATGGCTCAAACCAGCAGGAACGTGTTAAATGTGTTAGACACATAATTTTTCATAGTCCATTTTTTCTGTGCTATTTTTTTATAATCTGGTATTAGAAGTATACATTCAAATTTATGGAAAACTGAGTTATTGCATTAAGTTTGCATGTATTGATTCATCCCTTTATCCTGCACAGTAAGAGAAAATATTATTTTGTCTTGAACTTCAGGCAAATCCAAATTGAGACATGTATTGATGTTCTAGAAATGCATGGCTCTAAAAGCACACCTAGAAAGCCTTGCAGTAGGGATCTTTCTGACCAGCCTAACCTCCTAGAGTGTGCTGTTAGGGAAGCAGAGATCCAGCTGTGGTGGTGCATACCTATAATCCCAGCACTCTGGGAGGCTGAGGCAGGGGGATCACAAGGTGAGCCCAACCTGGGCAGCTTAGCAATGTAGTGAGACCCTGTCTCAAAAGAAAAAATGAGGAAGGAAAAAAAAAGCGGAAGATATAGCTCAGTGTGAAAGCCCTGGGTTGAATCCTCAGTACTGGAGGGAAAAAAAAGGAGTAGTGGGTACAAAGATGCTGAATTTAATAGGAATTTTTAAAACAAAGCTTACAGGTAGTAGAAATCAGTGCCTTATTCATATTAATTGAATGGTGAATTGATAGTGTAACCACCCCTTAATTTATTGAAAAACCTTTAAAGTACCTGCTGTGGATGCCAGACACTTTGTTCTGGGGGACAGCGGAACAAAGGCAACAGATAAAAATCTCACCTGAAAATTCAGTCAGTTAACAAAAATTAATTGTATATATTTAAGGGGACAAGTCATTTTTCTAAACCAAGTAACAGTGGTCATGGTGAGCAAATAATTTGGGGTTTTTACATAGTTTAGATAATGATCCTTTGGAGTGTTTATACACTAATTGCATTACATGGCTGTGCTTTCGCTTAACCTCAGTAACTCTGCCCACCAGCCCAACTACAGACAGCAGAGAGCTGTGCCCCCTACCCCGTCTGTTTGCTTTTGTTGTTGTCTAACCGCAGAGGCTCTGAGGATCCTGATCTGTCGGCCCCAGATGGTATTGGTCGCGGTGATGTCCCAGAAGGGAGGACGTAGAGGGCGGAGGGAACCATGGGAGCACACATCTCTCTCAGCGTGAGGAATCAGCTCTTGTCACTAGTTTACTTTCCTCTGTGCAAACAGAATTGCCTTTTCGTAGCCCTCTGTTACCAAAGGGAATAAAGATCTGTTCAAATATATCCGTTAGTATAAATGCCTTTTATACTGAGTTTTTCCCCAAGCCGAGGTGTGTGTTAACTGGGAAACAAAGAAGCATGTTGTCTGGGTACTTTTCAGTTCTTCTCCGTTTCTCCTATTACTGTCAGCATTGCTTAATTTGATTTAAAAGTTTTGTTTTAAATGTAAAATAACAGTTATTCTTAATTTGTATATAAGTCCAATAAGGCCGTTTGTTTATATAGATGACTGTGTATCTTTGGGTTTTACATATTTGCTGTTAAAAACCGTATAGCTAGGGCTGGGGATTTAGCTCAGCGGCAAAAGCGCCTGCCTGGCAAGTGCAAGGTCGTGAGTTCGGTTCCCAGTACCGGAAAAAAACCCAAAAAAAAACAAAACAAAAAAACAGAAAACCGTATAGCTGGCCTTTCTTGTTTTCAGTTCAGTCTGACAGCCCCTTTTTTAATATTATGCTTATCTGTATTCTTCTGTCTTCTCTTACGTTTGCTTTATTTACATTTTCCCTTTTGTCATGTGCTTTCTTTTTGGTTGAATTAATTGTTATTTTTCCTCTGCCAGTTTAGAAGTTACATACTATCATTATTCCTGTACGGTTGTAAAAATTTAACATGTCTATTTAACTTAATGAAACTTAAAATTAACCAGCAACTTTACTTTGCTCCCAGATAAAACTTTTATGACAATTTTGACTAAGTCCTCTTGAAGTGCCTATTTTGCCAAATGCCTCAGTTCTAGCTTATTTGTTTTAGAAATTACACATTATTATAATTATATATAGTCAGCGTGCATTTACATTTACTGGTATTTCTTCTTGCATATTAGGTTTTCCTTCTGAGATTATATTCCTTTCCTAAATTTTTCCTTTGAAAATTATTTTATCGCTAGTCTGTGTTAATAATCTGACCTGGTTTCTGTTTTTATAAATACCTTTTCTGCCACCTAATTGATAGATTTTGTAAAGATTTTATTCTACTGTCTTTAGCTTCCATTACTACTTCTGAGAAGTCAGCTGTCATTGTTCTTTTGTAATCTTTTTTTGGTCTAGTTCCTCTCAAGAGCCATTCACCCTTTCTGCAGTGAGATGCCCTGCATTTAAGTGCCTGTGGTTTTCTTTTCTTTTTTTTTACTTTACCATGCTTGTGATCTGTTGGGTTCCCTGGACCTAAAAATCTTCAGTTCTGGAAGAGCCATTAGTTTGCCGTTTGAGATTTTTTTCCCCCACTTTGATCTTTTTGAGACAGGGTCTCTCTCTGCAGTTCAGGCTGGCCTTGAGCTCACTGTGTAGCCCAGGCTGGTCTTGAACTTGCATTGATCCTTCTGCCTCAGCCTCCTGAGTGCTGGGATTATAGGCATGCGCCACTACTCTCGGCTGTTTGAGATTTTTTTAAAAAGGGATTTATTATTGCAGTGTGGGTGGTGATAATAAAAGGCTCTTAGCACTTAACATTTTGTCCTTTTTTAGGGCCAGTCTCTCCCTGTGTATTCCACTAGGTTTTTTTTTTTTTTTAATTATTATTAAAATGACCATTTCATGGAAGGAGAATAGGTTGGAAAATAGGTAACAACATTCTGAGCACATATTGACCCTTTTTGGTGTATAGAAAGTGTGAGGAAGACTATATATATATTGAGGCATTTTGAATTATAATTTTATTTTTAGCACTGAGACATTTATGGTTTTAATCAAGTTGGTTTTGTTTTAAAACAGGCAGCAGGCATGGAGGAACTGAAATGGGAACAGTACACTGTGACCCTACAGAAGGTGAGTTCTGCATGTGTCATATGTTGTACAGTTGTGTTCTGCGTTTTATAGTTCATGGTTCTTCTTTTGGCCCACATGCAGTTTTGGTTTTTTCCTCATTGGGGTGGCTGACGCATTGTTGGTACTAGCTGGCAGTAATTGCCTGCTGACAAGGACTGGGCTGCTGTCCTGGTTTTTGGCTGAGGTCTGTATAAGATAGACCGTTCTAGAGATTACTTAGTATATTCACCTATCTCCAGACAGAACAGGTTGTGAAAGAAAGCAAGAAAAGGAGGGGAAGGCCATACTACTTAAGGACATTCAGGTAACTTTTACAACTTGTGTAATTTAAATCAAAACGCACATACTTTATAACTCCCTCAAATTAGTTTTAAATGCAGAGTAAGTTCGAAAAGATTGGCTTTGGAATCAGGAAACATGTTGTCCCACCCTGGTTATATTAAGGAGCATGGGAAAGTAGAATACCACACATAAATATATTTTAACTTAATTTAAAAGTTGTTTCATGGGTATTACCTTTTTTGAGCCACTGAAGTATTACATGCAGCTTCCAACTCATGGAATCTGGCAGGTCATCAGTTCTTAATTTTTTAAAAAAGGAATTAAGATGTGTTGTGTACATGTACCAACTCCACACAATGAATGTAATCATTATGTATTGCAGACATGTACTAATAAAGAAAAAGTAGAACTTAGCCCCATTCCTTTTTATTCTGACAGCAGAGTTCAAAGTAACCACAATAGGGGCTGGGGATTTAGCTCAGCAGCAAAAGCGCCTGCCTGGCAAGCGCAAGGTCGTGAGTTCGGTTCCCGGTACCGGAGAAAAACCAAAACCAAAGTAACCACAATAGGTGTTAGCTCCATTCTAAGAAAGCATAGCAACTGACAGTTTAAGTCATTTATCTAGTTTAGAACTTCACCCAGGGCCTTTCTCCCCTCCCCATCTCTTTCTCTTTGTCTCTCTCTGCCCGCCCTCCTCCCCCACGTGGGACCCAGAGCCTCACACATGCTAGACAGGGGAGTCCAACAATGATGTCTTCCCGCCCTGAGCCACTCCAGGCTCTGTCACTTTCTGGAGGGATTGTAAATTCCTCCAAAAAGGAAGTTTCCCTTTCAGTCTTAAAACCATGAATGAGCTTTGATCCCTATCATTAATGTAAAGATAATTTTCAAATTAAATGTTTGTTTAATTAATCCAGGTAGGAAAAAATGTCACTGGGTCAGTGCCCAGGGCCCGGATGCTTAAACTTCTGGGTCAGTAACCCCAAACTGTTTAGTTGAGGAGTTATGCCTGTTTAGGCTGTGGTTTTCAACTCTAGTCCTCTCTCTGACTCCTCTCAGAATCCTTTCCACCAGTGTGTCATGTGTCCTTTGAACTGTGGGCTCCAAACTGGAAAGAGTGAGGGACTCCTTGCGCTTGTAATAGAGGATAGAACTGACTGTTTAAAACCAGATGCTTGGTACTGCCAAATTTAGAGCCAGTGTGTTTTGAGTTTGAAATATTTGTGATCAGTCAGCATAGCAGGCCCCACACAGGAACTTTTCTTTGGGACTAAAGATTTTCTTTTCATTCCTAGTAGATTTTTATATTATCAGCCTTGACCGAGGATGAAACTGGGTTTACTTTTGTAAATGCTGAAATTAAGTAGAATAGTGTATTATTTGGGTCACTAGCACTCCTAGATTTAATATACCTTGATTTCTCATTTCTGTGCATGTGGAAAAGGGCTTAGTGTTTTGTTCTCATAAAATCTCAACACTACTGTAATTTTGTGTTTAAAATCCAGGTACTTTTTAACCCTGTATTAAAAATGAAACCACCAGTTCATTGAACTTGGAATTAAAATGAGTTCTTTCAGACTCCGTTTTAACTGAAGTTGTTCCGCTCAGAACAGCTTGACCCAAGCAGGTCCAGTTGGTGCTTCGCACAGCACATCCCTGTTGAGACAGAAGACATTGTTTCCTTCCCCTGCGCCTGCCAGCTTTTCCTGATAACTCCAGTAGTCTCCACTGTCCATCTTTTCCAGCTTCCACGAGGCTGTTCCTTTTAGATAAGGAATTTCCTTTTATAAACCTGTCAGCTTCTTACAGTGACACTGTATTCTGGTTTTCATTTACTTCTATAAGCCCATCTGTTCCTGAGCTGTCTCTGGTGATTAATTTGACTTTTATTTTATTGAGTGCTTGTAGTAAATCCTGAAAGCCACTTACAGAAGGATTTTTTGTGTGTGTGTTTCTCCTAACTTCAATGAACAGGATTCCAAAAGAGGATTTGGAATTGCAGTGTCTGGAGGCAGAGACAACCCCCATTTTGAAAATGGAGAGACCTCCATCGTCATTTCTGATGTGCTTCCAGGTGGACCTGCCGATGGTCTGCTTAAGTGAGTGTCCTTTGTCCCCTCCCCAAGCCCATACCAGCCGTGCCAGTGGGCGCTGGACAGGGTGCTTGGGTTGATGTGTACTTTTTTAAATTTTAAAAAAATTAACATGAAGTTTTTAAATCGTAAGTAATATATCATCTTTTAATAATGGTTTTAATAATCTCCAAACCATGATGAACATCCAGCTTTGGAAGGCTGTTTTCCCCATAGAAGATAGTTACAAACATATCTTCTGGGTTTCAGAATCACTTCTAAATATGGAATTTTAAACCTCCCCCCCTAAACTCTTAGTGTTGAAGGGTTTAATGAGGATGACTGGTCAGGGTACTCAGGGGTAGAGAGTTGCTGAGCATGCATGAGGCCCTGCGTTCAATCCCCAGCACTGGTAGGAAAAAATTTTTTTTAATAAGGAAACTTTGAGTTAGTAGTTTTTCATATAGAGCAGTATAAATTTTTAAAATAATTTTTTAGGATGAGCTGAAGCCATAGGATTCTATGATCTTAAAATTGTCTTTGAGGACCTGGGGTAAGCTCTTGACCTCCTTCCCTCAAAACAGGTGCAAATGTATATACCCTGTTTGGGAGAGTGTTTGTAGACCAAAGCCCACCATGCACCATGGCTAGCAGAGCACTGACAAAGGAACTCCTTTCGGTGCCAGGCCTCCCCACAGCTGGGTACACCCTTGGGTGACTGTGGTCTGAGGAGGGCAGATCTCTTTCTACCCGGATGGTTCCCAGTAAACACTCAAAACTGAGCTGTGTGGTTTCTATTGTGTTTGCTCAGAGCAAGCTGACAGAAAGAACTTAGGTGGGTTTGCTGCTTTTATTCTGTGTAAGTTTTTCACGACCTGTTTTTAATTCCTGTTTATAGAGAAAATGACAGGGTGGTCATGGTTAACGGCACCTCCATGGAGGGTGTGCTCCATTCGTTTGCAGTTCAGCAGCTAAGGAAAAGCGGGAAGGTCGCCGCCATCGTAAGTATTGGCTTCACATTCAGCTTTGCCTGCGTAGCATTTTGTTCTTGTATCCAGAAGAAAATTGCCACTTGCTTCTGAACATTTGCTGGAATTACATAACTGATGGGCCCTTTAGCTGTAGTACTTGGATCTTCAGAACTTTTGGAGGGCAACGTAATGGACTATTGGAGATGTGTTGTTATCTTCCTGGCCTTTCTGGGCCTTTTCCTTAGGCCCAAGATTCCCTTCTCTGAGCTGGGTTGCAGACAGCCGTGTTGCAGCCATGTTGCGGTGCAGTTCTGCTTTCTTCATCATCATCTCCTAAGAATAAGCATTCTACCCACTATACTGCTGTTATCATGTCTAAGAATATTAATTACTGCAATATCACCTAATACCCAATCCATACCTTAAGATTTCTTTTTCCCCCTTAGTACTAAGCTACATTTCCAGCCCTGTTTATTTATTTACTTATTTTTGAGAGGGGCTTGCTAAGTTGCTCAAGCAGATCTTCCACTTGCTATCTTCTTGCCTCGGCCTCGCAGAATGCTGGAATTACAGTATGTCAAGATGTGTCTGATAGACATTTTTTTTCCTTCTTTAAGGATCCAAGTTCCCACTTGTTGCTTTATTTCTTTATTCCCCATTAATCTGGAATACCCTGCCCTAGCTCCTACGCTGCACCTTTAACTTTTACAAGGGTCTAGGCCAGTGATGACGAACCATCAGAGCTTCCCCCCCCCCCCCCCCGTACAGGAAATCGAACTCATGACCTCGTGCTTGCCAGGCCGGTGCTGTGCCACTGAGCAGTATCTCCGGCCAGTCAGAGCTTTGAATGATATAGTCCGTTGCAGCATGCGTGCCCAAGGTCTGCCACCATTGGTCTAGCCAATTAAATATAGAATGTGCCACATTCTAATTTTCATTTGATTTTTATAACTTGGTGGCATAAGGCCTCTGAGACTTTTTTACACTTGAGTAGAAGCAGATTTTGAAGATAGTATTACTTTTTTTTTTTTTTTCTGTTAAAAATGTAAGTTTGTGATACAGAAGAGTGGTGTTTGTTTGGGGAAATTGGTACATGTATATAATGTCTCAATCATTTTCAGTCTCTTTACCCCTTCTCTCTTTCCTTCCTTCTCCCCCTCAATATCTTCCCCCAAAAGTCCGCCTTCTTGTTTCCTGCCACTCTTCGTAATTTTACTCATTTATATTTCAGGTCTCTTGTATGAGAAGCACCATGTGCTATTTAATGTTCTGTGTCTGACTTATTTTACTTAGCATTATAGAATCAAGTTCCATCCATTTTCCTACAACTGACATGATTTTATTCTTTATGGCTGAGTAATATTTATCCATTTGTCTGTTGTTAAGCATCTAGATTGTTTTCAGGGCTTAGCTATTCTGCGTTGAGCTACTGTGAACATGGGTAATGCATATATCACTATAGTTATGATGTCTTTAAGTCTTTTAGGAATACATCCGGGAGATACATAGCTGGGTCATACAGAATTTCTATTTTCAGTGTTTGGAGGAACCTCCATATTGATTTCCATGGTGGTTGCCTGAGTTTTCATTCCCACCAACAGTGTAGAAGACTTTCTTTTTCTCTACACCCTTGTCAGCATGTGTTGCTTTTTGTGTTTTTGATGATAGCCTATTTAACAGGGATAAAATGGAATCTCAAAGTTGTTTTCATTTCATTTCTTACGTACTTATTAGTCATTTGTACTTCCTTTAGGAAGTGTCTATTAAGTGTATTTGCCCATTTTTTTGATGAGGTCATTGGTTTTGGGAGGATTAATTTTATATTCTAGATAATAGTCCTTTATTAGAAGAGTAGCACAAATTTTTTCCCGTTCTGCGGGTTGATCTTTTCATTCTGCCGATTGATTTTTTGCTGTGCAGAGCTTTTTAATTTGGCATTATCACACTTGTTGATTCTTGATATTGGGGTGACACTGGGTGTCCTTACATCTGCCTGTGGCTTCTTGTGTTTTCCCTAGGTTATTTTCCATCAATTTCAAAATTCCTATTTTTATGTCCAAGTCTTTGATCTATTTTAATTCGGTTTTCTTACAGGGTGAGTGAGATGGCTCTCCTTTCAATCTCCTGCGCATATGGATAAGCAGTTTTTCCAGCACCACTTGTTAACGAGGTTATCTTTTCTCCAGTGTATGATTTAGGTGTCTTTGTAAGAAATTGGACAGCTGTCAGTGTATGGGGTTCTTTCTGTGTCTCCTTTTCCATTTCATTGGTCTGTGTGTCTGTTTTTGTGCTAGTGCTTTTTGTTGTTGTTCATATAGCTTTGTAAGTATTACTTGAAGTCCAGTATTGTGGTTCTCCCACTTTGGTCTTTTGGCTTAGGATTGCTTTGGCTCTTCTGCTTCCATATGTATTTTAGAATTGTTTTTTCTAGTTCTGTGGTATTTTAGTAGGTATTGCAATAAATCTGCAGCTTGCTTTTGGTAATATGGCCGTTTCAACAGTATTTTGTTACCTAAGAACTAGGGCTGGCTTTCCATTTTCTAATGTCCTCTTCTTCAGAGTTCTGCCGTTTTCACTGTAGAGGTCTTTCACCTCCTTGGTTAGGTTGATTCCTAGGTATTTAATTTTTTTGAGGCCATTGTGAATGGAACTATATCATGGGTTCATTATTGTGGTACAGAAGTGCTGTTGCTTTTTGTGTATTGGTTTTGTGAGGTTCCTTTTTTTTTTGGTTTTTCTCCAGTACCAGGAACCAAACTCACGACCTTGCGCTTGCCAGGCAGGCGCTTTGCCGCTGAGCTAAATCCCCAGCCCTGTGTATTGGTTTTGTATCATGGGTACTAGTATACTTAGATCACAACATTGGACTCAGGTTCATAGTCATTGTCTTCTTATTTTAACCTTGTGAGTTTCTTATTGGACCTGTTTCCAGATGAGGAAGCCAAAGCTTAGTGAGTCAGCAGGAATATTGTTTAAGGGATGCAGGGTGTTTGTTTGTTTTTCTGGTGCTGTGGATGGAGAGGCTCACAGTTTAAATGAAACTAGAGCTAGTGCCTTGCCCCCTCTTCATTACTTATTGTAATTGTCCTCTTCCATACTGTGTGTGTGTTTGACAACAGGTAGTCAAGCGCCCACGGATAGTCCAGGTGGCCCCACTCCAGGGCAGCCCTGCCCTCAGTCACGATGACCGGGCTTTTGATGTGATGGACGAGTTCGATAGCAGAAGTTTCCGCAGCGGGTACAGTGAGAGGAGCCGGCACAGCAGCCGTGAAGAGTTTAACCGCAGCTGGGAGGGCAGCCTGGACAGGAGCCGTGGCCACCACCGACACCAAGATCAGGACCGCAGCCGCGGCCAGAGCCTAGAGCGAGGCCTGGACCGTGATGATCGCCGTGCCCGGGACCGCAGCCGCGGCCGGAGCATCGACCGGGACTACGAGCGGGATTATGAGCGGAACTATGAACACGCCTACCACCAGGCCTATGGGCAGGACAGCCCGTCTGGGGAGAATCGCCGCCGGGTCCAGCCGGAGCCCCGCTATGAGCACCCCAGGAGCAGGAGCCAGGAGCACTTCCACTCGCATAGCCCCAGCCCTGAGCCCCGGGGCCAACCTGCACCCGACAGGCACATCGGGGTCCTCCTGACGAAGAGCAAAGCCAGTGAAGGTGGGCAGGCATGATGCAGGCAAACAAGCAGTGTTCTGGTAGTAATGGCTTGCATGCAGCACCTGCCTGGCTGCCAGGCCTTCCTACACCTTTGGCTTATTTCCTCCCCACGCTCACATCAGGAAGGAACTGCTTCTCTATCTTTATTTTGTAGACAGGGAAACAGGCACAGAGGGGACCCTTGACCTGTACAAAGTTGTTTCAATGGCAGAGCCACTGTCGAACTTTGGCTGAGTTTGTGTGTGTGTGTGTGTGTGTGTGTGTGTGTGTGTGTGAGAGAGAGAGAGAGAGAGAGAGAGAGAGAGTGTGTGAGACCTGACTGCTGTGAAAGTGTAGATTTCGCAGGCCCCAGCCCATATCTGCTGAATCAGAAACTGGGATGGGCCCTGGAGTGTGTGTTAACAGGCTTTCCTGGTGAGCCTGATGCCTCTCAAATAGGGGGAATCAAGACAGAAGGCTGAACGGCAGCTCAGCTTGATTGTATGCTGTGCCCCAGCGCTGTGCTGAATAAGTACTCTTACTTAGTCTTCACAAGAACCTTGTGCCACAGGCCAGGACAGGTAGGTTTGGGTGTATCTGTAGCCCACATGTGATCAGATCTAGGACTCACCTGTAGTTCACAAGTGAGGACTGTGAGATTCAGACTGTTGAGGTGACTTGCCCATGTTTTGAAGCCAGTAAGTAGATGGTGGAAATAGAGCTCAAACTCTATCTCCTGGGAATAGCTGATACTGTAGGAAGCAAGTAGATAGATAGGTGAACAGGGCTTTTGAGCCTAGGATCAGATTATTCCTAGCATCAGTTCTTCTGACTTTTGGAATTCCTTGTAACATAACTTTTATCTCTTTTTGTCCTGTTACTCCACCAAGAGAAAAAGAATGGGAAAACCCCCAAGAATGTTGAACAGAAAGAATCCTTCTGTTTTAGTTTTGGAATTTGCATTTTAAATGTCTTTTTTTTTGTTTGTTTGTTTTTTGTTTTTTTTTTTTTTTTTTTGGTTTTTCTCTTGTACCGGGAACCGAACTCACGACCTTGCGCTTGCCAGGCAGGCGCTTTTGCCGCTGAGCTAAATCCCCAGCCCCTTTAAATGTCCTATCAGATGAGAGGATTTGTTTTCCTTAGTTTCTCTGGCAGAGTTGATTATATAACTAGATGCCCATTGAAATAACGAAAGAATAATGCAAGGAAGAGAGTAATGGGATACTGGAGTCCAGGCCAAGAAAATAAAGTGAAAGTTGAGACTGCATCATCTCAGCTCCTCTCATGAATCTCAGGAGGTGGAAGGATTTCACAGAACCTGTGTAACTGTTTGTGAGCAGATTAGATTCCATTAACTCCCAAGAATGGGAGAGTAAAAGCCGTCTTGTATCTCTGAGGATGAGAATTTGGCAAGAGAATTTGGCAGACTTCTCTGTTAGAGAAGTATGATTGCATTCTATAGGACGTGCACCCCAGAATCTTGAGTTACTGAAGGCACTCCTTCTTACATTATTCCCTTTTCCCCTTCCTGTATTCCCTCCTTGGTCTTTCACTTCTTCCTCCTGACATGGAGAGAACCCCATCTTTTAGACGGCCATGGAGGTACCTGCATGTCTAAAACTTGAACAAATGTTTCATGACACATTACTTACACTGTGTGGTATTCCCTGTGATGTTGCATTACATCAAACTTTGAAAGCGGTGGTTGGAACTCACTAAGTTGATTTCAGACCTACTAATATATTGCGACTCACAATTTGTAGACTTTGTCCTAAGAAACTGGTCAAGTCTTGATTGGTCTTAGTAAATCAAGAAAGGGCATTATGCTTCTTTGCTCATGGTGTTTTTCTCTTTCTTGGCCATTTTGTTGCTCGAACTTAGGAATCGTTAAACAACCCCATCACCACCACCACCACCACCCCACTCCCCATTTAAAACCCAGGACCCTATGCATGTTGGGCAAGTACTCTACCATTGAGCTGCATCCCTAGCGCTTTACCTTTTAAAAATGTTGCTGCTTTTGCTGATATTACACAATAAGTTAGCTATGGCTGGTTGGGTTTGCTTAAGAATGAATCTTTGAAGAAATCCAAAGAAATTAGGCAAGACCTACATTTTATTAAGAAAATGTTCACCTCAGAAGCTGAGGCACGAGAATGACAAATTTGAGCCCAGCCTGTACAACTTAGCAAAACTATGTCTCAAAAAAAAAAAAAAGAATTTGTTTTAAAGGGCTAGGGATGTACTTCAGTGTGAAGGACCTGGGTTGATCCTGAATACCACACACACAAAGATGAAAGAAAAAAAGGAAGGAAGAAAGGAAGGAAATGCATTTATATAGCCATTATTGCATTTCATGGCCACCAAGTCACCTTGCTTGTGAATGTCTTAGAAGCTGACTTTTTTCTTCATTTAAGTAATGCCTGCTACAGGCACAGTGGTGCCCTCTTACAATCCTAGCTACTGAGGCTGACAGATTATAAGTGAAAGGCCAGCCTAGGCAACTTAATGAGACATCATCTCAGAATTAAAAACAAAGTCAGAGGATGTAGTTTAGTGGTAGAGCACCTTAGGTTTACCCTCAGTATAGTAAGGTCCCGATTTAGGAATATTCAAATTGCAAACTTTCACAAATACAAAGGGACCTCCTGTTAGGAACATTCCTAGATGTGAACCAATCGTGGAAGACACTCGTGTCTATTTTACCATTTTAAGGTAACTGTAAAAGTAAAATAGATTATTTACGGTATGTGTGTGTGTGTGTGTGTCTGTGTGTGCATTTTATGCTTTACATTGTGTATTTGTGTCAAAAGTGTATAAAATTCTGTCACAATCGTTCTTCTGGAATGGAACTGTTTCATAAATTGGGGACTTAATGGACTGCAAAAAAGAGCTGTGCACATACACACCAATAACTCTGCAAACTTACTGTAAGTACGGTTTTTAAGAAGGTAGAGGGAATATTGATTTATGAGAAGTTGATGCGTCCGCCTTGTCCCAGCCTGCGGATTTGGGCTGGAGGCTGGCTGACACTGGAGGGTCGTCATGGTGCGAGCAGATGCGCCCTTACCCTCTGCGCATGACTTCAGTCTTCTCAGTGGGGTGGGTAATGCACCTGAACACTTAAATCAGCGTCATCAGGTTTGGTGCTAGCAGGTTTTCCGTAAGCCATTAAAACTTGTTTGAAAATGTACTTTGTAACTTTCCTGGATTGTAGAAAGTGACTTTGTTCTGTAGTTACAAGACTCTTTCAGAGAATAATTTTATAAATTAGAACGTGCCTGTTTTCAAATATGCTAGATTGTCATGGCTTCTAAAAGTGACCAAAATTCTCCTCTATGTCCATTATTTTTTACAGTCTTAATTAGTAAAATCAGAATAGTTTGAGTATCATTTAAAAATATGCAGCCCTAGTAAATAACTTTTTTTTAATGTCAAGTCGAAGTCCAAACTTTCCTCCATCAGCTCTGCTGGTTTTCGTTCAGTGCTTTAGCAGTGGCTTTGCCTGCCTGCCTTAGTCCCCTTTCACATGCTGAATGTCTTCCAATAACAAAACCCAAAGCCTGAATTTTTGGAGATGAAGGTGTGTCCTGGGCACAGTGTTCTGTGGGCAGCTCACTGTCAGCAAGGTCCAGTTAAGATGTACCAAGGGTTTTTTCCTCCCAACATTTTATTTAAAAAGTGTTAATTTTCTAGCAAACACCCACGTAACCTTCACCCAGTTTTACCAGTTGTGAACACTTGGCTACATTTGCTGTCTTTCTCCCTCATTTTCTTTTCTCTCTGCCCTCTGCCTCTCTAACCTCTGCCCTTTTCTCACAATGCTTATATGGGGAAACGCTTGAAAGCAAATTCTAGGCGGTGTCACCTGTTACCCATACATATTTTAGCAGGTGAAATCTCTGAAGAATCACATTCTCTAGCATCACCTTAATGACATTATCATGCTTAAGGAAACAAACGTAACAGCCTTTAGTGTAGTATGATTCCTTTTGAAATTGTTCAAGTAATGTGTCCTACCCTCATCATCATTTGGATCAACAATATGATAATGGTTCACAAATTGCTTTTGGTTTTTTGTCTGTTTTAATCTAGAACACTCCTTTTGCCCCTCCTCCCCTTTAGTTGAAGAGTCCAGGCCATTGTCTTACAGAATGTCTCATAAACAAAATTAAGTTTTCATAAATATTGTTAATTGTTCCTAAAAGCCAGACTATTTTCTGAACAAATTAATGACGTACATGTGTTTTATGTGCTTATCTCCTAGAGTATGGTCTCCGGCTAGGCAGTCAGATCTTCATCAAGGAAATGACCAAAACAGGTCTGGCATCGAAAGATGGCAACCTTCATGAAGGGGATCTGATCCTCAAGGTGGGCAGATGAGGACAGGGAACAGCTGGGCACCTCCACGCATTTCCTTAGCTGCATTTCTGCATTTAAGTGCCAGTACTGACTGACTTGGTTGCACTGGGAGTTAATAGGAGGAGCAGCATAGTGGGATGATTTTTATCAGGAAATCCAGATCCAGTGGCAGGGTGTTTGCCTAGCATGCATGGGGCCCTGGGTTCAGTCCCAGGCACTACAGATCAAGCAAACACACCAGACTTAGAGATTTGTAGTAGTTTATTCACACCTCAAGGTGTACTTTCCTTCTCCATCTTTGTTAAAAGTTCAGGTTTCTGCTCCCTAAACTGCCGATGCTGAGCCTTTTAGAGCTTTCAATGACACAAGCAGCCCACTGTGGCATGTGTGCCACAGGTTGGCCACAACTGCCCTAAACCAAGGAAAGAGGGAGAGCTGTTGGTATATGAATACCGAATATTTACTAGTTTTGTAAACCTCTTCAGTAAGGAAACATGTTGCAGTAGTAAACCAAACCATCATCTTGGTGGGGAGGTAGAAACAACTAGCAGAGTAACTGAAGTACACTGTGGGTCTTTCATGCTTGTATGTGGGATCCAAGCATGCACAGTTATATTCGGTTTAAAGGATCGTTCATATTTATTCAGTCAGTCATCCTGAAGTCCTTATCTGTTTAAGGATCTGAGCAGAGGCTTTACATATTTTAGAAGGGAAAATAAAATTTTTCTCCTTAGTTATAAAGAGTATATATAATACTACCATTCGTACACACAGATCAATGGGACTGTCACTGAGAACATGTCATTAATTGATGCTGGGAAGTTGATAGAGAAGTCTAGAGGAAAACTCCAGCTTGTCGTGTTCAGAGACAGCAAGCAGACACTCATCAATATCCCATCACTGAATGACAGCGACTCAGAATTAGAAGGTAAGGAAAGTCTTGGCCAGAAGAAAGGAGAGCCACTACTACTACATTCTCATCTCTGTTTAGCATAACCATCCAAGCTAGAGGTTGAATTTCCAAGAGCAGCCTCCCTTTTCAACTTTTATTTCCAAAGATAAATGTTCAGTTGTTATCTGCTTAATAAATTATCTACTGAAGTTAGGTTTCCTCCAATATGAAATTCTGATACTGTACACTCCTAGAAGACTCAGTTAGGCCCTGAAAGCAAAACTTTTAGTAAATAGTATATGCAGGCTGGGTACAGTGTCACACACTAATGTTGTGATATTCATTGGCTAGTAGTCTGGGTTACCTCTTCTCTTTGAAAGCTGTGTTCATTATTGTATGAATTGTAGGATAACATCTTAACCTTGTAAAAATTATCAGTAACAGTAAATAGACATGATATATTGTATTTAATCATTTACTACTGCTTTTGTATGGGAAATTTGAGAAAATACTAAGTTCTCAAGCTTTCAAACAAGCCTTTGTTGATCATGTTTTAAAGAATTTCCTTATAAAATCTTAACTTAGTTTGCAGTGTCCTGAAAGTCTGATCAGTTGGTCAGTGTGGTGAGCGCAGAGCAGGAAACGCAAGGCCGGTGAGAAGGGATTACAGTGTACCAGGAACTTACAGTTTCTGTCCTTGATCCTCAGCCCCCAGCAGGGTCAGTGTTGTCTGGGAGCTTGAGACAATTGCAGGATCTTGGGCCCCAGCCAGGAACAGCTGTGGCCCAGTAAGATCCCTGGGGGATTTGAATGCACAGCACGGTTTGAGAAGCACTGGTCTATTTTGGTGAGGATGAGCGCATACACACACGATTTAATACAGTTGCTCCTCCATATCCTGGAGTTTTGCATGCTTGGATTTAGCCAACTACAGATTGAAACTATTTGAGGAAAAAAAAATTCCAGAGTGTTGCAAAAAACACAACTTGAATTTACTGAATAGCCGTGAGTGATGTGTAGGCATACCCTGCCATAGCCTCCTCCAGCTCATAGATCTGCCTCTCTAGTACTTATTTAAGACTTTCTGTTTTCTTTGTTACTCGCTGAACTACATTGTAGAATAACTATTTATGTAGTGTTCATATCCTGATAGGTGTTATAAGTAACCTCGCTAGGGTTCAGCAGTGTGTATACAGGAAAATGTCGTTACAGAGACTAAGTGCAAGTGCTGTGCCATTTCACAGAAGAATATGGGCAAACTTTGGTTGGAGGAGTGGTCTTAGAACCACTCTGCAGATAGTGACGAAAGACTGAAATGGAATTTCAACCTTTTAGTAGCAGCTTTCACAGAAAGTGGGATGAGAGAAATACATGTTTCTGAATTTGACTTCCTCTGACTGCTTTCCCTTAAACTGATTGTGTTTTCTTGCTCTTTGTCAGGTAAAGACTGTTACACTAATAGCACGTTTTTGTCTGCCTGTCTTCTGTTCCCATGTCTCTGACCCAGAAAGCAGTATAATTTCTGGTGTATGTCTTAAATTTTACTAAAAGTGTCTCTTAATTTTGAAACTAGATATCTCAGAAATGGAGTCAGTCCGATCATTTTCTCCAGAGGAAAGACGCCAGCAGTATTCTGATTATGATTACCATTCCTCCAGTGAGAAGCTGAAGGAGAGACCAAGGTAAGGTGATGTGTGTTTTCTCTGGCACACGTCACTGTGCGTGTACACACATGCGTATCTGTGAACTCCTTGCCTCCTGAGACATTAACATGATACGTGCTTTTAAGCTCGAGGGAGGATGCACCGCCAGGCAGACTGTCTAGGATGGGTGCCACACCCACTCCGTTCAAGGCTTCAGGGGACAGTGCTGCTGCTTTCGTCACAGACACCAAAAAGGAACCCAGATCCCAAGAGGAAACCCCTGGTGAGGCTTTAAGACCACTCTTTCTGTTTTCGGTTGGTGCTGGAATGAAACCTAGGGTCTTGTGTAAGTGAAGCCCACTCTCTTTTCTCACTGGCTGCTGCCAGGCCGGCACCACACATTTCCAGCAGTTGAGTTCAGAAGTGTGTGCTTGATACTCCAGAGGGCAGCTGAAAGGAGAGAGAGAAATTACAGAAAATAATTCTTACATATGGAAGAGGCCCTCCTGTGCCTCTGTCCTTTAATGTTGAAAAATAGAAATACAACGACCCTTTCTGTATGCCATCAGGTTTTGTCACATTTTGTCATATTTAATAAGTTTTGGTCCTTTTTTCCCCATCCATGATCCCAAGCTCATCCTAACTCTGCTGTCACCACCCTGCAATCGTTTTAGACACATAAACATTTATCCATGGGCAAGTACAGCATCGTTATATGGTTTTCAGTTATAAAAAGTAGTATCTTCTTTACTTTGCATTTTGGAGGTCTGTTTTTCTTCTCACTCTGAGAAACAGTTGGGTCCTACTAATGCCTCCAAGTTAAGCTCGATCTTGAGATTTTTCTGTCGTGTGATGACATAGATGTAGAATAAGACATAGTCTTAATAGTGTTTGTAGATTCTGCTATCTTTGTATTTAGAAACAAATTCCCGCTGTTTCAGGTTGATAAGGATAGTGTTGTGTTTTTCATTGCAATGCTGGGGATCAAAGCTAGGACCTCAGGCCTACTAGGCAGGTGCTGTACCACTGAGCTGTACCCCTAGCTCATAATAAATGTTTCAATCCACAGCGCCTCTACCCAGAACAGCCCCAAGAACTTTTCTCCGTCCTAGTCCTGAAGATGAAGCAATATATGGGTATGTATTTCTGTCTCTTTTTTTCCTACCTTGTTCTGTACAGCTAATCTCTGTAACTGAAATCCAGCATACTGGGGTTTCCCCCTCCGGTGGCCATTTTTCATATTACTATCTTTAACCGACTCCTGTTGGTCATGTCCATAGGAAAGAGGAGAAGCAGAAGGTGGAAGTGGATGAGCTTTGTTAGGATAATGTGTGCTGTTCACCTAGCTAGCTGCTTCTCCAGAACGTTATTATGAGTATTTGCATTGGCCTGATACACAACTTAAAAGGAGGTAGAGCATTGCCAGACTCCAGTGCCTAAGCAGTGACTGCAGTGAATGTCATCCCAGCATGGAGAAAGGGAGGAGGAGTGCTGTGGAGCTCTGCGCTTGATCATGAGCCTAGTGTTAGAAGAAGCAGCAGCAGGATTAGGACCAGCCTCGTTGGGCCTGGCCTGTGTTCTGTGTGTGCGCGTGGCTCCCCCACCCCCTCTGCTAGAACCATTAAAAACATTTTCTTTTTTTTTTTTGCGAAACTTCAATTTGAAATAATTTCAGACTTACAAAAAGTTGCAAGAATAGTATAAAGAATTATCTTTTATTGGCTAGCTGTGGATGCTAACAGGCTTTCCTTTGAAAGAATCCTGAACTGGTCAGATCTGCCAGCTTAAAGAATAGGGTTAAAGCTAAGATTATTTGGTGTTACATCGTAAATAACCTGATGAAAATATGCTACATTTCTGCTTTTTCACCAGTAATGTGGGCCTGCTGACATTCATCTCACTGTCTCAAGAAGATAAAGTTATAGATGAAAAAAAATAAGCAAGTGCTTTGTCAAGTGTAACTCACTTGATAGATACATGAAGTTAAACCTCTCAGCTGCTAGTGTGGGTCCCTCTTTTAAAAAATATTTCTCACTGTATGTAGTGATGCATGCCTATAATTTCAGCCTCACAAGAAGCTCACGCAGGAAAAGCCAAAGTTTGAGGCCAGCCTGGACAACTTACTGAGATAGTGCCTCAAAATGAAATGCAAAGGCTTGGGGTAAAACTCAGTAGTAAAGTGTTTGCCTTGGTTCAGTCCCTGGCCCTACAAAAAATAAAGAGAGAGAAGAGGGGAAAGGGACATAAAAAGAATTAAGATACATTATGTACATGTATTTACTCCCATGATGAATGTAATCATTATGTACTGCAAACATGTACTAATAAAAATTTGAAAAAAGCCAAACGAAACAAAAACACAAAAAATTAAAAAGATCTCACATCTTTCCTTCTTGAAACCAAAACTGTTACAGCCCTGACACCAAGATGTTGAAGTTCAAGAAGGGAGACAGTGTGGGCCTGCGGTTGGCTGGTGGCAATGATGTTGGATTGTTTGTTGCTGGCATTCAAGAGGGTACTGCCGCGGAGCAGGCAGGCCTGCAGGAAGGAGACCAGATTCTGAAGGTAAGAGAGTCCAGTCATGTTAGTAGGAGTTACTTGAACAGAGTGTCTCTTTCCGGGTACTCTGCCACAAGGAAAACAGGCCAGCAGGAGCTTTGATGATGCCTCCCACTAAGGTCTCTGTGTTTCTGATGGTCCTGCCTTCAGTCATTAGTATCCAGAACTGATCCCTGTGTCAGGGAGGATTTAGTAACGTTTAAAACCCTTGCTAAGATTTTTACTGCAGTCAGACCTTGGTACTCAACTAAGGCACTTTGAAACTCCTTGAAAGTTGGTGGTAGAAGCATTTTGGCACAAAAATACTGTCCCAGTACTTGCTATTTGTTTGATGTTCTATATGCAAGCTAGAATTTGTCAGTGTTGATTGCCCAGTGATTTTCTAAGCTTCCCAGCCAAAATAGTTTGTTTGGGACTGGTTGGTTTTGGTACTGATTGCATTTCTGGAACCAGTTAGTAAGTATGGAGGTACCACTGTAGTTTTTTTTTGTTTTTTTTTTTTTTTTGGCTTTTCTCCGGTACCGGGAACCGAACTCACGACCTTGCACTTGCCAGGCAGGCGCTTTTGCCGCTGAGCTAAATCCCCAGCCCCTCACTGTAGTTTGATTAACCAAAAAAAGAAAGAAGAAAGAATATTGAGACTAACCCTATGAGAGACAAATTCCTGAAAGATCTTGTGAGGTTTTGGGTTTTCATTGTGTATAGCGTTCACCTGCCAAGTGTCACTCTTCAAGGCAGTACCTGTACTTGAGCAAATGTGATCATGATATCAGACTGTGTGATACGAATGCTGCCCCCACAATCCCGTGGGTTTTGTGCTCCTAGTTAGGTACCCCTTGTTCTCCCTGAGACTTGAGTGGGCACATTCAGTGGGATGAGTACCTGCCTCTCCAGAAGTCCAGGAAGATAGGAGAGGTAGCACTTCCAAGGCCTCAGGCAGAGTTCTTGGCATACAAAGAGAAGGTCATTGTGGAAGGTAGCACTCAGGGGCCGCCCATATAAAATTGTCTAGCAAGAGAAATTCCTGACTAATCAAATAGTGGTACATTCAAATTTAGTCTATGTTTGTATAATTTATTGGTATTAGAAAGTTTTAAGGTTGGTATTTTAACCTTTTATGAGCTACAAATGCATTTTTAAAATTGACTGCAGAATAAATTTTAAGAACACCAAGTACCTGATTACTGTAGAATATGAATGCTAGGAAACTGTTACTGGAATTGTGTTTGCTTCTGGTGTCTTTGTACCCTTGCTAATATTAGTTGAAAGGTTGTATATAGAGATCCTGTAAGCACTTCTGAGCTCAAAGGAGGAAGAGAAAATGTCACAGAATCCCAGACTGCAAAGTACAAAGGCAGATGGCCCCTTCCTTCTCAGCACTTGGCTTCATTCTGGTAGTTCGGATTTCATTTCTGGAGCAGATGAAGGGCAGACCTTGATCATGAGCTTTGCTAAAGCTTTCCAATGAAATTCTAGCTCCTCTTTGGCCCTGCTGGGGATCCTAGAATACTGTACCTGAGTAAACCTCATGGTAGCACGATACTAGGAAACAGGCTCCACCAAATGCTACTGATAAAAATCCCATCCGAATGCCAGCTCGTACCAGTTTACTCTTGGTAAATACGCCAGTAAAGGAAGAGCTGTTTCATATGTAGTGTAAAGCCATAGGCTATCAGCCAGAGATTTGCAGTTTTTGCTCTCGTAAGATACCAGGATAAAATATATTTTTCTTTAAGGGGATGTGAGCTCTTGAAATTTCCATGATAAAAAGTAGAGAATTCACCTAAATACCTGACAGACCTCTCTGTAAGTTGTTATTAAAGACAGGGAGAGTTGCTTCCGTGGTGAAAGGTCACAGTAGTCCGCACTTACACTTGAGAAAAGTGTGTAGATATCAGTGGCAACAAGGAAGAAGCTGTGGAGACTGGCTTCTTTTGCAGTAATCCTGTATGGCGGCCAGGCAGTAGATTATCCTCATTCACAAGTAGGAATAAATTTTCTGCTACCTATACAAGGTGCCCTCAGGTCTAAGAAGGGCTGGAAGAGACCCAGTTAGCCTACCAGGGCAGGGAAGCTGCTGCACACTTAGAAGCTGTGGCTGACGTAGAATCCCCTGCAGGCTTGGGGCAGCGGCCCTGCACCTTGAGACTACTAAATAGCTAACGAAAGAGGATCTTTATCGCAGAGAACTGTGCAGTGTAACCTTCAAGTGCAAAAGCACCGCCCTGGCCTTTTCCACCTGCATGTGTTTCAGCACTCCTCATGGCCAACCTGAATGTTGGAGGCGAGCTTTGCTCAGGCGCAGTGCTGTCTTCTGTTGTGGGTTTCTCGGTGTTGCTCCTCGTGCTTTGATGGTGACGGCCTCAGGCCTGGGACGGAAGCCGGAGTGTGGCAGTCACCGCAGAGCGTGTCTTCCAGCAACAGAAACAAACTTGTGTTCATGCTTTTGCCTGCTTGGCCTCACTGTGGTTTTGCTTATTGCTTATCTAGGACTTGGCATTTCTCTTTCAGAAACTTAAAGAGAAAAATATCTTGGGGCTGGGTTATGTCAACTACATGGATTTAAAACATGTAGCCACTGTGTGAGCTTTTATTTTGACCATTAAAGTTTTTGACCTGATTGAGGGTCAGTGTCACATGGCCATGGAGATGGACAGAGGACTTTGAGGTCCTCCCCGTGATCTTGTCATCCTTAAACAGACAAATAGAAGCGTCCGCAGCACACCTGTGTGGCCAGTACAGAAGTACAAATGTCCACACACTGCACAGCAAAGGAGCAGGCGCCACAGTCTGATGATCCCTCACTGGGACCAAGAGGTGGGAATGAGAGCACTGAAATGGTAAATACTGCTCCAGAGGGAAACAACTTCATTGCTTTAGCAAGTCACTTAATAGTCCTTTAAAAAGCACTAGGTTTAATCTATTGCCTTCTTCAATTTAATCATAAATTTTGGCCTTAATTAGCAGCCAATTAATAAGGTTTTTTTTTTTTTTTAGAAATAAAGCATTATTTTTATGTGTAATTAAAAAATTATTAGTGCACATTTGCCATCAATAATGATTACACTCATTGTAGGGAAGAGGTATGTGTGCATAACTCGTCTGAGTTCTTTTCTTCTTCACCTCTAGTCCTGTTTTTTTCTCTTTGAAAAATGTTTTGCCAGCATCAGACTTATTTTATTTTTAAAATCTTTAGCAAGTTAATTATAAACACAGAGTAAGAGCTAGACTTACAGACCATAAAACACATAAAACTATTACACTTTTAAATAAATTTGCCATGCTAGGTCACAATAGAAATTTTCCTCTCTCTCTCTCTTTTTTTTTTTTTTTTTCCCCTATGATTTGTCTTTTCTTTGGGTGTTTTGAGACAGGGTTTCAATATGTAGTTCAGACTAGCTTGAACTCTGTAGCTCAGGCTGTCCTCAGACTCATGGTGATCTTCCTGCCTCAGCCTCCTGAATACTGGGATTATAGGTGTGCACCACCATGTGCAGCAATTTGTTTTTTCTTTGTACTTCATTTATGTGTTGGGTTTCTCAAGAGAAAACATGTGATATTTAAGCTTCTGTGTCTCATTTACTTCACTTAACACTATGATCTGAAGGTGCATCCATTTTCCTACAAATGACTAAACTTTATCCTTTATGGCAGTAGTACTGCATTGTATATAAATATCCATGCATCTGTTGAAAGACATACAGGCTGCTTCTAAGATTTAGCTCCTATGAACTGTTATAAGCACAAGTATGTGTACATTACTGTAATATTGCAACAGCAAACAGAAACACTGAGATGACACCCAGGATTTGGAGGCAGATTTACTTATGTCAACAGCCACTGAGGGGGCTCACTCCCAGAATATCAGGCCCTGATCTCTGGTGGTCTAGGGCTTATGTGGGATAAGCAAGCAGGAAGTACACAAGCAGAATGGCTTGTCAACTGGGGATTGGTTTATACAGTGTGCATCAGTGACCAGCCGTTTCTAAGAGACAGAAGCATCTGGAACAGGAGCTATTACTGGGCAACTAACTGATGTATACTGGTTGTGGGGGGTGGGGCATTTTCTGCTACATTTACCCCCTCTTCTCATTTTCCTGGCAAATATTTGCTGGTCATATTACGTGTGATCTTCTGAAACAAGGCCCACCTAGAAGCAGTAGACAACTTAGGCCTGTCTGTTCTGTAACATTACTCTGGCAAGGTAGTGAGAGAGTTCATTTGATCTAGGAGAGTATCCAACACTGTGCCTTGGATGCTCATCAAGTCTTGGTCAAGTGTTTGATTGATTGTTCTATTTTCTTGGGGCAAACACCCATAGAGCTTAAGGCAAAAAACACAGCCAGCAGGGGGCAAGGAAGCAAGGACCAGGATAAGCAGAATCCAGGTCAGTTATCAAAAACCACAGTTAGCAGTGGGGCAGGGAAGTAAGGACTGGGGTAAGCAGCCTGAAAAGACACAAAAATCAAGGGGAATAGGTGTGGAGCAATCCTTTGAATGGTATCCTCAGGCTTCAGCTGTGTGTGGACTGGTCAGCGTGCATTGTCTCTTCACAGTGAGCCTCAGAGGAGTTAAATTTTTCAGTGGATCTAAGGCTGGATTTCTGAAACTTGTAGTGGTAGTTAATATATTCCTTGGTTGTGTGTGTGTGGAAATGTCTACCAATGTAGCTGGTATAGTTGGTTACAAACTTTTTTTTTTTTTTTTTACTTTTTTAGCACTTTGTGGCCTATATGATATATGTAGTTTTAATTTTTAATTTTTTTTGGTCTTTCTGAGACAGGATCTTGCCATGCAGTTCAGGCTGGCTTTGAGCTCACTTTGTAGGCCAGGCTGGTCTCAAACTCGAAATGATCCTCCTGAGTGCTAGGATTACAGGCGTGTGCCACCATACCCAGCTTGTAGCTTTTATTTAATGTAGTTTTCAAGTTACCTCTGCTACGAGTGTTGCTGCCAATCAACAAGGGTAGGCCATATCTAGGGATGATTTTTTACAGCAGGACCCTACAGACTTTTACTGTCTTCCCAGTATGGGTAGGAAATGGGAGGTTGGGGCTGGTGACACAGATGCTGAAGCCTGAGCTGGCTGCAGGGGTGTGGGTACCAGTGCAGCAGCTTGAGCTTGCAGAACAAATGGTGGGGGCAGGTCTGGCTCTGATCTTCCAGGAATTTAGTCACTGGATCTCTGGAGGGGGCTTAGGCCTCTGGACCAGATTTTTAGTCAATTGAATCTTTGGAGGAGGCTTAGGCTTCTGGACCAGATTATTTTGCATTGTTGGTGCAGGTTTCCAAACAGTGTCAGGAAGCAGTTTGCTGTGCAGATTGTCCCTGCAGGAGAGTTTTGGCTACAACAGTTTTGTCCAACGTGACCACAGCATATCTAGCCTGTCAGATTTTATTCCTAACAGAGCTAATTCCATCTGTAAATAGGGTGAACTCAGCATCTGTCAGGGGGTCCATTTTTTAGAACAGGTCATCCCAGAACAGCATGTGGCACCTGGACAGTTAGGTCTCAGTCTAAGGTGAGCTTGTCAGCTTTTCTTGATCAGAAGGACAGGGGCTGTTAGAGTGTGGAGGCAAAGGGGGGAGGCAGTTCTTAGAGGCCACTGGGTGATCCCAGGGACTGATGGTCTAAGTAAGCATATAGAAGTGAGCAACTCCCAAGAAATCTGGGGAGTTTTTTTCTTGTAACAAATTTCTGCCAGATATTGTAGCAAAGCTTTTGTGTCATTTCAGCAGGCAACTTGAGTCTCTTTAATCAGAAGTGCTTTTTCAAAGAGGAAACAAGTGTTTGAACCTCTGGGAGGTTGAGTCCACGTTAGTTGACTTTTGAGTCCAAAACTGGAGTCTTTCCATTTAAAGGCAGTGAGGGGTTGGCTGACAGGAGCCAAAGGCAGAAGAAGGCATTTTTTAGGTACAGGCAGGTGAACCAACCTGTTGTGGGTGGCAGAAGACTGAGGCATCATATACGGAGGGAAATTGTGGCAGCACTGGCAGCTCAGAGATCTTGAACTGGCTTTACAGGCAGGAGAGGTGTATTTCAGCATTGTGACAGTCTATAAACATTTTGCAGTTTTGAAAACTCTGCATGTGTGGTTGAATTTCTAGCCAAGTCTCTTGTGGGCTGTATGATACAGCTGGGGGTTGCCCCAGGATGGAGTTTCACAATCAGACCCAGGTGGTCGATGACCAAATCTCAGAGCCCAGGGGATAGTGATAAAATTGTGAAGCTTTAAGGAACAGAGAAACAGGCTGTCTCAGAGCAGCCAGATCTGTTGTCAGAGCCTCCCTGAAAGTAGCGGAAGAGTTCCCAAACCCTGTGGCAATTAACAGTTCAAAAAGGGTGCATGGAGTGGGAACCGTAGAGTGAGGTGATGGCTGCATTGCTGTCGGCACAGAGATCTTGCCCAGTGTGATTAACGGTCTATCAGGTTGATATGTGGCTGGATGCCTGTTTGTTTCCTGTGACATATGACAGCAACAGGGGTCATGGTGAGGGGGCACAGCTGGTGGCCAGGCCCCGAGGCAGGTCTTTAGTTTATAGCTCTGGGAGCAGAGTTTTCAGAATTTCACGATTGCTGTTGTCTGACACAGGCTGATGCAGGCATCATCTTCCTATCAGGGGACAGTCAGAGTTGAAAGTGCAAGATTAAATGAGAGGGGGCTGAGTGGCTTGGTGCAAAGGAAATGGTCGCTTCTAACTTGAAGAGGAGGTCTCTTCCCAGAGCGATGTGGGGACTGGCTTATATAGGAATTCACGTTGGATATTGTGTCCGCCAATTTCACAGGATCTGCTTTGGCAGGGTTTCTTTTCAGTGGGGGCTCCAGTGGGTAATTTTGGTAACTTTAGACATGTTTATTGTCTTCTTGCCTCCCTTTTTGAGGCCTGCCAGGAGAGCAGCGCGGTACTGATCTAAAGCTTCATGGCCCTCTGTCATGTTAGTCTCAGTCTGGATGCGCTCGGTGGAGAACTGTGTTCCCCAAGTGTCAGGATCAACCACAGTGGCAGGGACTTTTGATTTTAACCAGGCATGGGCCCCATCTAACATGTGGTGGCATTCTTCAATATTAAACAGAGTCAGGAGTTGCTGACAGTAGAGCAGGAGGCTGTGGTGCAGGAAACAGAACTGGTGGTGGTGGTGTGGCTGGCCAAGCAGCTTGGGGTTGATGATTGCAAGGAGGCAGGTCAGACTCAGGGTCCTGGGGCAGAACAGGATAAAGCTTTTCTGGCTTGGGCTGAATCTGAGAGCCTCTCAGATGGCTGTGGGTTTGTTTTGATGACTAGGATGGCTTTCTTGTTGTGCAGGACACAGGTGTGGAGCCAAGGTGGGAGAGTTCTTAACCCTTTAGTGCAGCTGAGTCCAAGTGAGTTGGCCTTTTGTCACAGGATTTTCCCAGTTGAACCTTTTGATAAAGGGAATGTTCGAGAGTTCTTATCTTTTTATTTATTTATTTTTAGTGTCTGTAGTCCTTATTCATAGCCAGAGGGTGTGGACATCTATCAGCCAGGATTTTCTGGATTTTCTTACAGACATCAGGTGCTTTTTTATCAGGTTGCTGAGACAGTAGGTGATGGGCTTTTTGATGTCTTTGAGAAGTGCTCAACTAGGTTGTTTCTAGGTGAGGTGACCTGTGGAAAGGCTATGGCAACTCATTTGTCAGGCTGACAGTCCAGTTTCTCCTCAATCAAAATGTGGAACTTCCTACGTGTGTGTTCTGTACCCTTGAATAATGGCGCATTAGACAAAGGGTGGGTGCCCCTCAGAGAGAGACCACTCAGATGCCTGCCTAGCCACGCCCTTGCAGGGACTTAGGTGCAAGTTAAGGAGGGTGCGAGGGCTCCATTATGCCATATGTCGATTGCCACAGAACCACAGATGAGGACCCAATCAGCCACCTCGACAGATGGAGCAGACTATTGCTTACACTGCCCGGTCCACTCACTCACATGCTCATTTAGCAGGCACTCAGAGGTTAACCATTTCAACCCTGTGAGGGTGGCCTTAACTAACAAGAGTTGATCAAGCTCTTTCCTGCTCAAACTGAGCAGGACTGACTGACTAACCCCCTAGGTGTCCCTAGGGATCTTAGCAGAATCAGGCAGGCAGACAGACAGACAGATTATGTTATCCTCCTTTTGGGGTTGGATGTGAGCTGCTCAAGTGGGGAGCCAGGAATCCCCTTCCAGACCTCCAAGGGGACTCAAGAGATCTCAAAGGCGTGCCTTCCCATCAGGATCTGGAGAGGTCCTTGATCTGTCTATGAGGCCTACAACCAGTGACCAAAGAGGTCAGCATGGTTGGTTTTCCCACCCAGTGCACCAAATGCAGTGGCAAGCAGAAACACCAAACATCAATACCCAGGATTTGTTTTTTTTTTTTGGTTTTTCTCCGGTACCGGGAACCGAACTCACGACCTTGTGCTTGCCAGGCAGGCGCTTTGCCGCTGAGCTAAATCCCCAGCCCCGATACCCAGGATTTGGAGGCAGATTTATTTACGTCAATAGGCACTGATCAGGATCATTCTCAGAATATCAGGCCCTGATCTCTGGTGGTCTCGGGCTTATAGGAGATAAGCGAGCAGGAAGTACAGAGGCAGACTGCCTTGTCAATTGGGGCTTGGTTTATACAATGTACATAACAGTGACCAGTCATTTCTCAGAGACAGAAGCACCCAGAACTGGAACGGGAATTATTACCTGAGCAACTAACAAACTGAAATATACTGGCTGGGGGAGGCATTTGCTGCTTCAATATGTCTATAACTGTCCCTAATTTTTTAAAAATATAAATTCTGAGACAGGCGTGCTGGCACACACGTATAATCCCAGCAGTTGGTAGGGTGAGGCAGGAAGATTGCCGTGAGTTCGAGGCCAGCCTGGGCTGCAAAGTGAGTTGAAGGCCAGCCCAAACTGTATAGCAAGACCCTGTCTCAAAAAGACAAAGTGTGTGTGTGTGTGTGTGTGTGTGTGTATTTTTTTTTAATTCATTCATTCATTCTGAGCCAGCATTTACAGACCTCGCCCTCCCAGCTACATTAGTTACCTGTTCATACTGGTATATTACATTCTCTGCTACATCTGTGAGAGACTCAACAGAGACAGACACAACCATATGTTCCAGTTGGATGCAGTGGTACCTTCTTGAGTTAGTGGCCTCCGTGACTGATTTGGCATGGTGGCACCTGAGAGGAGATCATCATGCCCGCAGGTGCTGGAGAGCATAGAATGGAAATGCTGAGGACTTGTTCACAGCCTGGTTTTGCTCTGAGCAGAGTCCTGATGGAAAAAAAGACAAAAATGTTCAGATAACCTGTACTGTAAATGCCTCTCTTATTTTTCCCCTGACTTTTCCTTTCTTATCAGGTGAATACACAGGACTTTAGAGGACTGGTTCGGGAGGATGCCGTTCTCTACCTGTTAGAAATTCCCAAGGGTGAAATGGTGACCATTTTAGTTCAGAGCCGAGCTGATGGTGAGCACCTTTGGTCTCTTAGTTTACTGTGGGTGAGTGGGAAGTATGAAAGAGGTATCTTGGGGCCAGAATAGGCAAATCCCCTCATTAAATAATTAAAGTGGGTCCTGACTCTCATCCTTAGGTCTCAGGTGTATGGAGAAAATTTGGGTGCCACTTCCCTTTCTCCAAAAATGTTTTCTGTCCCTACTAAAATAACTTCTCTCATTGTCAATTTGGAATAAAATGATTCTACAAGTGATACATCCTTAAGATGCTAAGAGCCACAGTTGCTGTTGGCTCCTACTTTACTTCTTACCGGTCTGGCTAGTAGATGTACCTTTCACCGCCTGGTACTTATCCGTGAAGTGGGGGGCCAGAATAGTCTCTTTCCATCTGTTTTAGAGGGATAATTGGCAACTAAACTAGTCAGAGTTCTGCAGACACACAGAACCAGTAGGAGATATTGGAACCATTGGGAAATAGAGATTTAGTTGAAGTAATTAGTACAGTTAATTATGGAGGCTGATAAGTCCCAAGATCTGCAGGGATGAGTAGATATATTAATTAGGTTTCTTGTTGCTGGGACCAAGTACCTGACACCCATAATTTAAAGGAGAAGTTTATTTGGCTTACAGTTTCACTGGACACAGTCCATGGTCAGCGGCCTTCCATGGCAGAAACGTTGTGGTGGAAGAGTATGTCAGAGTAAAGATGCTTAGTTCAAGGCAGTCAGAAAGTAGAGCCAGGATATAGTGCCAGAGAGGAAGGGGCAAGGGACTAGACATAACCCCCAAGGTCACACCACCATGACCTACCCAGACACACCCAGAAGTGTGCTTTACTAATCACCTTGGAGGTTCCCAAGCCAATCAAGTTGACAGCTTGACTTAACCATCATGGCAGGCAAGCTGGAGGCACAGCAAAGCTAAGGGTTTGGTTCCAGTCCAAATATGAAGGCCTGAGAATTAAGAGATACTGGTGTATTTCTAGTAGAAAGGCAGAAGGAAAGGGTGATCTCCCAAGTGGAAGGCCATCAGGCAGGCTAAGACCAAGTCTGAGTGAGTCTGCTTTCTGTTCTGTTTGGTTGAGGGTCACCCACATTAGGGAAGAAAGTTTGCTTTACTCAGTCTGCCCACTTAAATGTTTGCCTCATCCCAGCCACCTCACCTACAAACACCCAGAATGATTGCGGGCCTCAATATCCAGACACCCTATGTTTAGTCAAATTGACACATAAAATTGGACATTACAGCAACTCAAGAAGTTGTTCATTCTTCTGTTGGTGCAGTGATTTCTGTAAAGCCTATGCACTACGGTCACTGAATTGGAGGGATCAGAGGAGGGAGAAGCTGGTAACCCAGGAGAGGTTCTTCCTGAAGCCCAGTACAGCACACCGTACTTTTGTCTTTCAGTGTACAGAGACATCCTGGCTTGTGGCAGAGGTGATTCGTTTTTTATAAGAGCCCACTTTGAGTGTGAGAAGGAAACTCCACAGAGCCTGGCCTTTACCCATGGGGAGGTCTTCCGTGTAGTGGACACACTGTATGATGGCAAGCTGGGCCACTGGCTGGCTGTGAGGATCGGAAATGAACTGGAGAAAGGCTTAATCCCCAACAAAAGCAGGTACCTGAGATTGCATGTTCCCACACACATCTTTTGTCCTTCCTGCTAGGAAGAACAGCAGACCTGCCCCAAAAGGAAATCCCACATGTCTTCGTTGGTTGTCTCCTCCTTGTTCACGGGGAGTCACCTGGATCTATGACCCGCCACCTGTCCATTTGCTATGAGTACTTAGCAACACATAGTTGCTTGTTGCCTGTAGCTGTGTTGGACGGTTTCCTGAGGAGTATCCGTGCCCAAGGCCTTTCATAGGACACACAATAGGTGCTGAGTGGCTGTATGCACGGCATACCCTGATCCCCATCATTGGGAGTGGCTTGTGTGTTCCAGTGAACACTTGGTGACGCTGCAGGAACCTAGGGAAGACACCTGCATTTTAGCAGAGTTCCAAGTGTGTTTATTGTACCCTAAAGGAGATGAGCCAAAGTTCGTGTGTTTATCACCGAGTTACTTCTGGTGGGCTTCACAGGGACCCTGTCTTTTTCTGCCTCCATTGGGAAGCAAAGCTGCCCACCTCCTGCCCTTGGAAATATCTTCATTGTCAAGCTGAATGTTCCTCTAATCCAGCGTCTTAAGTAAAAGTGACTAGGTCTGTTTAATGGAAGGCACACGAGCTGTGTTTCCTGGCTTTAGAGATTTGCTTCCAGGGATTTCTTTCTTTTCTCAGAGCTGAACAGATGGCCAGTGTCCAGAATGGCCAGAGGGACAATGCTGGGGACAGGGCAGACTTCTGGAGAATGCGTGGCCAGAGATCCGGGGCAAAGAAGAACCTGAGGAAGAGCCGAGAAGACCTGACAGCTGCGGTGTCAGTGAGCACCAAATTCCCAGCATATGAAAGGGTTCTTCTGCGAGAAGGTGAGGGAGCTGCCATTTTCAAACTAGAACAGTTGAGTTGTAGCTTACCTAGATCACTCACATCCAAGGCAGGGAAGGAGTTGGAATCATATTCTAATAAGGCAGTAAGCTGTCCAGACTCCTTAGGGAGGGCAAATTTCCACAACCTAAAAGATTTCAATACCACCATTCAAAAGTTTTTATACGTTGTGCACAGCAACATTGTCTTTAAAAATGGTGAGGTGGGTGATGAAGGTGTATTCTCTAGGAAAGCGCCGGGTTCCATTGAGGGCAGGAGAATGTGCAATTTCTTTGACTGGTTGATTGATTTCTTTGGTTTATTTTCAAAAGCCCACATAATCCTTTGCCTCTTATCTGAACGTCTGGGTATGTGTATGTATTAATGACCTTTCTCTTCTCATTTCAGCTGGTTTCAAGAGACCTGTGGTGCTATTTGGCCCCATAGCAGATATAGCAATGGAAAAGTTGACAAATGAGTTACCTGACTTGTTTCAAACAGCAAGTAAGTGTGTCAGTGATATTTTCTCCTTACATTTCTGTTGTTAAAAATTTCAACGTGCCTTTCATCTGGAGTCATTGGTTGTTTGCATTTTGTTACATGCATGTTTTTCCTCCACCACTTGCCCATGCATAGGCACATGTGTATGTGTGTGCCCATCTTCCAAAGCTTCTGCAGAACCATTTGAAAGTTTTGAGTTGTGGACATTTTATTCCAGAGTATATGTGTGAGTCTCCTAAGAATAAGACTGTCAGTCACAGTAGTAGTATCAGTTCAGTGGTTGAGAAATTTAACATTGATAAATGTTACAGATTGAGCATCCCTAATCTGAAAATCTGAAATCCAAAATGTTTCAAAATCTGAAGATTTTGAGCACCAACATGATGTGTCACATGTGGAAAATTCCACACCTGACCCTGTGACAAATTACTATCAAAATATAAGCCCACTAAAAATAGTATATGATATTCCTTTCAATCTGTGTGTATGAGATATGTATTAAAAATTGTTTATATGTTCAGACTTGGTTCCATTTCCTGGACATAACTGTTTTTTTATATATACAACTATGCTAAAATCCAAAACACTTCTGGTCTATTTTTCCAATTTCCTTGATTGTCCCAATTACTTCATAGTTTCTTTTACTTCTTTTTAAAGAAATAATTCAGGATATAACCAAGGATCATGCCTTACCTTTGATACTTATGTCTTTTTATGATTTTTCTTATGTATTTTTATTCACTTTCTCCTAAATTATGTGGGACACTGGTATTTTGAAGAGCCCCAAGCCATGGAGTGTTCCCCATTGGACTGCCTCTTTCTCCATGGTTAGGGTTTGGTGGTGGCACACTTGACTAGCATGCGTGAGATGCTGTTTAACCCCCAGCCCTGCAGTCAGTCAGTCAGTCATAGTGAAATGTGGCCCTTCTAGTTGTATCTCATCATGTCAGGCGTCCCATCATTACTGATGCAAGCTGGAGCATTTGATTGTCATTGATTTCTAAAAGAACTGTTTTTGCTATTTCAGAGACAGAACCAAAAGACGCAGGATCTGAGAAATCTACTGGAGTAGTTCGGTTAAATACTGTGAGGCACATTATTGAGCAGGTGAGAAAACCCATCAGGAAACCATGTTGTCAGAAAGAATTGGTCACAGTTTTCTGCAATTTGTTTCTAGTATTGAATCTATATTGAAACTATCATTAAACGTGATAGTTAATATAAATGCAAACTATTTTGCTATGTGGAATGGTTTGATTTTTTTTTTTTTTCTTTTTGAGTTTTCAGCATTATACCAAATAACATAACAACTTTGTTTCTTTGTATTGGAGATTGAACCCAGAGCCTTCACAATGAACCACGTGCCTAGCACTTCTTTTTTTTTTTGAGACAGGATCTTGTCAAGTTGCTGAGTTGTCCAAACTGGGCTCAAACTTGCAATCCTCATGCCTCAGCCTCGCAGAGTGCTGAGATTCAGGCATGCACCACCACACTCAGCCTAAATAACCTTTTAACATTAAGCCCCCCAATCTGAGGGAGATATGTGCCAGGACCCCTGGTAGATGTCTGAAATCAGGGGTAGTACTCACCCTATAGATGCATCACTTTTCCTGTACTTACACATGTATGATAAAATGTAATTTATAAATTAAGCACATGGAGGTATTAGGCACATTAAAGTAAGAACTAATAATAAAATAAACCAATGAAACAATATACTGTAATAGAACTCTGTGAATGTGGTCTTTTTCAAAATACCATATTACACTCTACTCACCTTTCTTTTTTATGTTGACCTCAAGTAATTAAAACTGTGGAAAGTGAAATTAGAAGTTCTAACCAGTTTATTATAATGAAATGGACATAGTGTGGAAAGATTTTCTGTATTTTTTCATTTAAATGTACACATTTTTCTGGTGTAGTACTTTGTTATTAAAATAAGCCCTTGGTGATACTATAGTATGTCACGTGCCCACCTATGTACCTTTTCTTCACCACTAACAGGATAAGCATGCCCTCCTAGACGTGACTCCAAAAGCTGTGGACCTGTTGAATTATACCCAGTGGTTCCCAATTGTGATATTTTTCAACCCAGATTCTAGACAAGGTGTTAAAATCATGAGACAGAGATTGAATCCATCATCCAACAAAAGTTCTCGAAAGTTATATGATCAAGCCAACAAGCTCAAGAAAACCTGTGCACATCTTTTTACAGGTATGTATGTGAAATTTTATTTTATTTTATTTTATTTTATTTTATTTTATTTTATTTTTTTGGTTTTTCTCCGGTACCGGGAACCAAACTCACGACCTTGCGCTTGCCAGGCAGGCACTTTGCCACTGAGCTAAATCCCCAGCCCGTATGTGAAATTTTACATGTAGTCTTTCAAAAGTGAGAAGTAGAGAAGTGAAAAATGCAAGGAAAGAAATAATCTTAATGGAGAATAAGAGCTTCTACTTCTTGAACAGTACTTAATTTTGTGAAATGGTTTATTAGATCCATGGCATTTTTGTAGTGAACTTTGTAAGTTTGAAAATTATATTGGTCATTTTGACAAGGTTCAAACGTGTGTGGGACTGCAAGGCTAGTGACTGAACCAACTTCACAGTCTGTGACCCACATTTCTGCACAGATTGTTCATCCTTGGTTTTTTTCCCTTTGTGTGTGTAACTTAGAGTGATAGGAACTTGTTTTGATTATTTTTACGTGTCCAAATAAAAACTTAAAACACTAGATATTGAATGATATAAGGATTTATTACTTCTATATTTTAGGTGTGGTAATATGGTGATTTTTTAAAAAAAATAATTGCTTTTTAGAGATGCATTCTAAATAAAATGCATTCTAAATAAAATGACCTAATAAGATATCTAGAATTTGCCTAAGCAGTCTGCAGTGGAGGTGGAAGCTGAATCTAGAGAAGACAAGACTGGCCAGGAATTGTTGCTGAAGTGAGTTGTTGTGTACTTAGAGTTCACTAAATTAAAGTTTTTAAAAAATTTTCTGTAATATGTTCTTTAAAATCTAAGAAGCAGTTGCAGCTGTTGTGACAGTGAAGTGGTCTAAAATATGACATTGAGTAAGTGAATATATGTACTATCTATAAAAATGACTAGTTCTGTGAATATAGTATAATGAGGAGTTTAAAATGAGACATATTTTGGTCACACAATACTTGCGGGTGCAACATAAGGACACTGCATGAATGTGTTTTCTTCAGGATGATGAAACTCTGAGTTCTATGCCGCCAGCGTCAGCCTTTGTCATTTCTGGTCTGTCTCTGATGCTGGACAGGAAGATGTGGGTGTGTGTGCATGTGTGTGCATCTACATGAGACTCTTGTCTTACTGACACTCAGGTTTTCTTGTTAAGAGAGAGATGCACTACTTAGCACTATGGCAAAATGTCATAACAGACAGAGTTTAACTAAATACTAGAGGAAGTCAATCATCATGAACTAGATTTATGTGAATGTAGTCTAAAGAGCTTGTGCTTTCATTGTATTCATGTGTATCTTTTCTGTCATTTTTACTACTTGTTATGGTTTAGATCCAGAATGCCCCCCAAAAGTCTCATGGGTTCACAGGTGGGGATTTAGAAGGGTGATTAGATACAGGAACACTACACAATGGTACCTCTGTTTATGAACTTAATTTTTTCTATGATTCTGGTTATAACAAAATTGTACACGTGCTGTTGTATTCATCAGTGGATTCATCCATTGATGAGTTCCTGTTTGAATGTGCTGGTAGGAGGTGGGGCCTGGTCAGAAGACATGGTTCACTGCGGTTGTCACCTGGGTGTATTCTTGTCCTTGGCTTCTTCCTCACTTGCTGTCCTTCTTGGCTGGCATGGGGTGAGCAGCTTTCCTCCACTAGGCTCCTCCACCATGTGGCTTCTATATGGGAGCCCGCTGACCATGGACTGAGCTCTCTAAAACTGTGAGTCAAAATAAATGTCTCCTCCTGTAAGTTTTGGGTGTTGGGTATTTTGTCACAATGACAGAAAAGTGAGTAGTATACTACTAATAGTATAGATTATTATTGCTGTTATGATAGCAGTGGTGAACCGGGGTACAGCTTTCCTGCATGCCGTCTTACTGAGCCGGAAGAAGGGCCCAGCTTCTTCCACATAGTCACAGATCCTAGTGTGTGGGTTGAATCTAGAGTGAAACTGTGGCATCCCTCATACTTTACACCACGGACATACAGTATTGTTCTAATGCTGAAAGGGGTCATATACAGGTTGGTCATTTCTTCTGCAAAATGCTTAGACCAGAAATATTTCAAGTTTTGGATTTTGGAGTATTTGTATGAACTGTCTAGGGGCTGTGACCCCTCTTTACACACAAAATTCACTTATTTTTATATACAACTTCATACATAGCCTGTAGGGCATTTTATAATATGTTGAATAGTTTTACACATGAAACAAGGTTTCATGGTATAAAATTTTTCCCTTGTGGCATGATGGGTCTCAGTTTTGATCCTTGGAGCATTTCAGACTTGTGTTTTTGGATCACCTAGTAATACAGTTCCCGCTTTTAGTAGACAAGAAAACCAAAGCCCATGTGCTTGTGAATGATGTTGAACACGCTCCCACTTAAATTTCCCCCTTGCTTTTAATTCCACTGAATGATTAGGAGCTTTCCTCAGACAGAGGGATTTGGAGTTCATGCAAGGTTGTGAGAAACCAGGAAGGGAAATAATGAGTTATAGAAGAAGAACAAGGCTGACAGAGGCTGGACCAGCAGGCGGACTGGCAGAGAAAGTAGCCAGTAGCTGAGAACACCCTTTTCCTAGCTTCGAGTCAGTACTATTGATTCTTTGGGATATAGGATTCAGTATGGCTGAGTCTGAGTGAGAATCTGGAGGAGCCCACGTATATAGAAGGGTTAAACAGCTCAGCGCCACCAATGGGCTGCAAGATGCTTGAAGGCAAAGACTGCTTTATCCAGCTCCCCGTGCCTCAGGCCAGCACCAGGACTAGCAAACAAGCCAGGCACAAGTAAGTTACTTATTGTAGAACTGCCTCTGGCCCACCAAACCATTTCTTATGTAAGCTAGTCAGATACAGTAGTTGAAAGTTTTAGGATAACTAATGGCAGAGAGGTTGGAGTAGAAACACTGTTTGAGCTTAGAGTTTCACCTGAAACGTTAATGGGACCTGATCTCATCATAACTTGCCATTCTGTCTTGTTTCTTTAGGATGGGTGCTACAGGGTACTGCACAGATTGGACCAACAATATCTTTGCACACTTCTGAGTTTGACTACCCAAAGCTACACAGACAGCCTCACCAGGCCCTCCCATCCTAACCCTCAGTCTACCTGCCTAGGTTGAGTCTTAATGGTGTGAGGCATGGCCGGAAACACTGGTTTGCAGACTTGAGCAGCAGAACCTTTAGGCAGAATTAATATTTTATTTGTTAATGATTTTAAATGTATTTTTAAAGTAATAAATAAAAGTAATACCCTTGCTTTCATCAACACAGTTTGAAGCCAAGCTTTACATTAACATGTAGTCTCATTAGACTTCATATCTTGTTTGTCCTTTTTGTGTAGTTTATAAATCCCTTCTTCCAATAAGTATTTATGACAGTATAAAAATGTCTTTCCTTATAATTTTGAGGTACTCCTCAATTAAACTGCAAATGCTCTATTCTGAGACTTACCCAAAGCAAGTTGACTTGTCAAAATAAGTCAGAATGGTAAGCTTGCCTCTTCCCTGTCTCAACTTAAAAATTTACGGTATAAAATATTTACATGTACATATCACAAAATTTTTTTAAAAAATGAAGTTTGAGTTACATGTGTTTGCAGGGTCTTCAAAGCACTTGCTTCATAGTTTAAAAACCGTTCAAGTGAAATTATGGACTTAGAAACCCAGGTGGGGCCCCTCTTGGTGATAAAGTGCGGCATTTTAAAGTACTGTGGGATGGTTTGGACATTTTCTCAGCTTCCAGGCCTTGTTAAAGTGAAATTTGGATTGTTCAGTCCTGGGACTTGGGAGGTATTGAACAAACACTGAGTATTACTAGTTGATACTAATGTACACTTAATGTCTTTCAGTATCACATTGTGAAAAAGTTTCTGTGTTATTACTTAGTCTTTGAAAAGCTTGGGTGGTGGGGTGGGAGTCTTGGACCAGCTGAGAAACCCAACTGTGTCAGGTAGCTCTTGATGTCCCGAGGGACCGTAGAGGGTCTGTTGACCACAGGAAGCAGAGGGAGATGTTTGGCCCCCAGCTGGGTCCTGTGCTGTAGCTCGTCCATTTAGGTCCCTCTTGAATGATGATGCAGCCACATGAATGGCTTTGTTGTGGTGTAATTTGCGTACCATACCATTTGCCCATTTGAAGCGTAAACTTCAGTGGGTTTTGGCACATTTAGAGTTGTGTGGTCATCACCACAATCATTTTTAGAGTGTTTCAACACTCGCCAAAGAAGCCTCACACCCATTAGCAATAACTCGTAATTTCCCCTAACCTCTCCATACTGCCGGTGCTTTACCCCCTTTGTGGCTGGGGGTGGGGGAGCACTCACGACACAGGTGCCAGGGCTGGACATGGATGCCCTCGAAACCCCAGTGCTCCCAGCCAGGGTGGTGACTGGGGGAAGATCCTTTCAGAATGTCACTCTCTGGGGTTTGAAAGCCATGTTAAGCCTATCCAAGGGGCACGGGTTTAGCTTCAAGGTTAGGACAATGGGAACTTACTAATACATACTACAGAATATCACCGAAGCTGAAGATCTTAGTAGAAGAGCTGACAGTAAGCCCGAGTGCTTGATTCAGGGGCAGAGGTGGCAGCAATTATGCACTCACTTGTTCCCAGAGGCCAAGTGCATGATGTGGATGTTGCCAACCATTGTGTGGAGTCTTAACAAATCAGCTACTATGAAGCTCTTATGTTTTGTTCCTACATTATACTGTTAATGTGAACTCATTAAGAGGTTTGTGACTTTATCAGTAGCATAAACAGGGCTGGGGATATAGCTCAGCAGCATAAGTGCCTGCCTGGCAAGTGCAAGGTCCTGAGTTCAATTCCTGGTACCAAAAAAAAAAAAAAGTAGAATCAAAGTAGCAAAAACATTTTTTGCATTTTTTTCAAAGAAAATTATGTTTATGGTACGTTGTAGGTATATATCATGTTCACATTCATCATAGGGAATTTGTACCTGTATAAGATATAACTTGATTCTTTTCTTTCCTCCCATTCCCCTACCCCTCCCTTCAACCCCTGTTCACCTCCTTATTTAGAAAAACTTTGTTTCAATTTTTTCCTTTTCTCTTTTTACTTTTCGCTTTCTTCTTTTCCTCCTCCCCCTTTCCTTGTTTCCCTTCCCATTTGAACATTTTCTTCCTATTTCACAATATCTGTTATACATCTTGACCCTTATTTACACTTTGTTTCTCATACCAGAGAAACAATGCAGTATTTGTCCATGTGTGTCTGATTTACTTAAGAGTATGGTCTCAGGGTGCATCCATTTACCTAGAAACATCTCAAGCTTATCCTCTATGGCAGGGTAGTACTCCACTGTATATATGTTAAAAAAAAAAATCTCCTTCATGCATTCACCAGTTGATGGGTATTTGGGCTGTTTCCAAGATTTAGGTATAAACATGGGCATACATACATCACTGTGGTATGATGCCTTTAATTCTTTTGGAAAGATACCAGGAAGGGGAATAGCTGGGTCAAATGGAACCTCTGGCCCTAGTGTTTTGAGGAATCTTCACACTGATTTCTTAAATGGCCCAGGTTGTACTTACATTGAACAGGTCCAACAGAAACCTTTAAAGGGCCACTTAGCATTCGTCATATATTTGGTACACATCACTCATTTTGCCTCTGGAGAGTACAGTCTCACTTACACATTGAAGTACATGGCATCATATTCTAGCTATGAGCACAATAATCTTTGCAAAGTACCAGTATAAGGACACAAAAATCCATGGTATCAAGGTTATTTTTCCTTGGGTTGTCCAGTGTATCACTTTATTCTAATGCTGTAAATAATTAATAACCCAGGAAATTGTACGCTCATTCAAGACTTTCCAAGGTCAATGTTAGAGCTTCTTAAATGAAAGAAAGCTGTATGCTACCTTAAAGAAAATCTGAAGCAGAGTTGCTTACAAGTTTGATTAATGATTCTTCGGGGCCTGAGAAGTGATATACCATCTAATAAAAAGCCATGATGATACAATTTTTAAACATCTTACTTACCTTCACTCTGATAATTTTTTCAGACCCAATTTAAATTATTGGTTTGGGTCATTTGGCTTATCTGATTTATTTCCGTGGGCCCATAATATATATTGCAAAAAAAAGCTACACATGTTGTACTTTGTTGGTGTTTTATATACCCTGTGTTCCAAATTTGTGTCTCTAGAGAAGCTGTGTAGTGTGGTGGCTAAGGAGATACTCTGAATGCAAACTTCTGAGTTTGTGCTCAGACTTCTTTCTTTGCATGGCGTGAGACCACGGGCTAGTTATTTTCATAACTGTGCCTTGGTTTCTCCTCAGTACGATGGCTGTGATAGCAGTACCTACCTTGCAGAGTCTGTGTAAGCTTGAAATACACTAATCCATGTAAAGTGCCTAGAACAGTATCTGGTTGACTCATAGTAAGGGCTCATATATGAGATAGATTTTGAAAAAAATATTCTTTAAATACATACCAGTTGAGTTAGGTTAATCTGCATATTCCAAAATGTTTAGAACTATGCAGGATTTCAAGCATTGAAATATTTAGTACATGGGGCTGGGGATTTAGCTCAGCAGCACAGCGCCTGCCTGGCAAGCGCAAGGTCGTGAGTTCGGTTCCCGGTACTGGAAAAAAACCAAACAAACAAAAAAAAAGAAAGACAGGGGGCTGGGGATTTAGCTCAGCGGCAAAAGCGCCTGCCTGGCAAGTGCAAGGTCGTGAGTTCGGTTCCCGGTACCGGAGAAAAACCAAAAAA